TCAAGTGCCAAAACGCATGAATTAAATCATGAAACTCAAAAACTTCTAAAACTTCTTTTGCACGTCTGATGTCTATTAAATCAACTTTGAATGACACCAAAATTTACGTGCAAGTCATAAACCACCATACAGAACTACTTTCAGGATCTAAATACCAAACGTACCTCGATAACACCAAAGTCTACTCCAAACAAAACATAAAGAACTTGGTAAACCTTCAATGCGCTAACTTTCAATATTAAGCGCCGAAACGGTCCCGGGTCATCCAAAACCTGATCCGAACATATGCCCAAATCCAAAATCATCATACAAACCTATTAGGACCGTCAATCCCGGTTATGAGGTTGTTTACTCAAAATTTTGACTCAAGTCAAATTTGACCATTATAGGCTACTATTAAGAAACTAAGTGTTCTGATTTTAACCCGGACCCTACCAAACCCGAACCAACCATCCCCACAGTTCATAATATAGTAAAAGTACATACGGGAAGTATTAATTAGGGAAATAGGGATATAGAAAGCTAAATGACCAGTCGAGTCGTTACAACAACACTTTCCAAAACAACAAAACCAATATGTAACGACCTGCCGGTCGTTTCGAGAGTTATAGCCCTGTTTCCCCCATTTATGCTTATTTTGTGCTTTACAGCTGTATTATATCTTACCGGGTTAGTTGGTTCGGGTCCGGAGTGGTTTTGGGGTGAATTGAAATACTTAGTCTCTTAATTGAAAGCTTAAGTTGGAAAAGTTGACCGGATATCGACTTGTGGGAAAACGAACTAAGATTTGAAATTTTATGGTTTCGATAGCTCCATTAGGTGATTTTGGACTCTTGAGAGCGTCCGAAATGTGATTTAGAGGCCCGTAGTAGAATTAGGCTTGAATTGGCGATAGTTGAAATTTTGGCGATTTTGGCCGGCAGTGGATATTTTGATATCGGGATCGGATTGGATTTCTAGAAGTTGGAATAGGTTTGGGGTGTCATTTTTGACTTTTGTGTAAAATTTGAGGTCAATCGGACGTGGTTTGGCAGGTTTCGCCGTCATTGTGGAATTCGGAAGTTTAGAAGTTCTTTAAGTTTGAATCCGGGTGTAATTTGGTGTTTTGATGTGGTTTCGAGGGATTCAATGGTTCGACTAAGTTCGTATTGGGTTACAGGACTTGTTGGTATAATTGGTTGAGGTCCCTGAAGCCTCGGGGTGATTTCGGATGGTTAACGGCTTGATGGGAGTTGAGGAACTTGCAGCTGAAGCTACTGCAACTGGTGTAACTGCACCTGCGGAGTGGGAACCGCAAGTGCGAGCCCGCAGAAGCAAAAGAGGAGTCGCAGATGCGGCTAAGGAGGATATGGGAAGGGGACGCAGGTGCGATGGCATTCCCGCACCTGCAATGGTCGCAGAAGCAGATTTAGGACCGCACGTGCGAGTCTGGACAGCAGGTGCGATGTAGTTCCCGCACCCGCGAAGAGCGCAGATGCGGTCACTTGATCGTAGGAGCGGAGGTAGAGTTTAGGGATTTTTCCGCAGTGTAGTATGTATTTTATATTTTTACCCATAATAATGATAAAATTTCAAAAAATATTAGAAAATGATTTGGAGAATGAGTATGATAATGGTAAAACAGGAAAGAAAAAAAAAATTTAATTTGCTAAAATGGACAATTAAAAGTAAAATTATATTTTTAATATAATACACAAATAAAAGTAAACGAATTAATATTTTTTTTCAATCAAAGGACTCAAATCCCGTGTCGACCCACTTTAATTTGCCCGTCTAAATGTCTGATAGCATAAATGTTGTTATTAAAGGCAAACTTCATTAGTATTGGTACTATCAAGGTTTAAATAATCTCTAACTTCTTTAAATTGTCTTTTAATTTCAATTTTGAGCGACCGCACCCCAAGTTTAACCTCATAAGACTAATCTCACTCGTGGTTTGCAATATTACATTTACATCCCCTAATTTGTCAGCAAGCTTGCTGCGTGGTTTCAAAAATTGCTAATATCATTGAGAAACTTACACAAATATCCCAAATAAGTCTCAACTTATCAACCTCTAACCATTAGTCATAGTCTTACCAAAACTAGCCAAACACAAATAAAAATTAAAAAAATCAAATAAATAAGGTTCTTTCTCTCAAAGAACCACATGCAAAAATCACCTTCCATATTTTTAAGCGTGATTAACAACATTTGATGCAAGACGGAAAGGAAATTTTATGGATGAGGTAGTAAATAAGGTGATGAAATACAAAACAAATATACAATATTCTAAAAATCTAAGCAAAAAGGAACTTTTTCAATGGGTATATTTGAAATTCATTGAAAACATATAGATAAGTCAATATACAAAATTTGAGGAATATTGGAGGTTTTGTATCAAAATTCGTAATTAAATCGAGTTCAAAAAATTCTTCTGCGACACATGTATCACACACACAGGTATACATGGATATACATGTGATACACAATTGATACAAATATTATACACATGTGATACACAAATGATACATAGTGTGATACACATATCAATTTTTTTCATGTTCAGTTTTTACTTCGAATTTTCAATTCAAACCACCTCAAAACTTTACCAGATCATCCCAAAACTGAGATTCAAGCTCCCTAAGATGTACCCAATCTATTCTAATAACACTCACTCAAAAGAAAGCAAAACATTGATATTTTTTTTATTACAAATAGCTAATAGGCTAATATTAGTAATATCTGACTAATATTAGTAATATTTTATGAATTGGCCAATTTTTATAATGAGCTACTTATAAATGGACATAGCTAGTAGTTACTCTAATATAAGCTCATCAAATACTTGAGCTTATTATTCAATATAAAAATTATCAGTCTGTGGTTCTTCATCGATTTTCGATATATAATTATTGTTGAAATTAGGCTTGTCAAATTTGGCCCAAGCCCAAATAACTCGCTCAAGGTTGAGTTGGTTATTGACCCGTTCGTTTATTGAACTCAACCCATTTTGACTTCACTCATATCAACCCATTTAAAGTTGGGCTTTTAATACAAATTGATCCATGAGTAACTTTGCCAAAATATGTTAGTTGTTTTTTTGTTGGTGTGTTGTATATGACCATAAAAAAGTCTTTTTTAGTAATTATACATTTCATAAGAAAACAACACATATTAATTAAAGCTTGGCAAGAGTTTGACGAATTGGGCTATGACCAAATTTTAGCCCATCTTGACCCAGCTTATCGCATCCCAAATAACTTGTAGGCGGGTCATTAAGTCAACCCATTTTGACCCGCACAAATCGACTGACCCGCCTATTTAACATCCTAGTGGAAGATGTCTTCATATTAATATGTTACATAAAGAGAAATATTCAAAACCACGATACATCAACTCTAAAACTTAGCCTTTAGGCATGTTCCGAATATGACGTTGGACTAGTTCAAGACACATGGACCGTGTTAACCCAACAACTTGTATTAGAGCCAGATTTAGCGGGATAAAATATGGAGATGGCATAAGTCCCCGCTTAGTACCTTTGCCCATCTATGGTCCAATTTAAATCATATTTACTCGTGAAAATAGTACGGACTAGATAATTTTTGGACTGGTAATTGAAAAATAGCGAGTGCTTGCAAAGTCATTGAAAAATAGCCACTATTTTGCTGTAACACGGAAAGTTCCAGCATAATATACTCGAGATTGGTGCACTTGTGTATGAATTTCCAACATATTATGCTGGAACTCCAACACGCGAAAAGTTCAAGCATAATATACTAGAGATCGGAGCACCTGTGTATGAACTTCCAGCATATTATGATGGACCAGTATATTATGTTGGAACTCCAGTATATTATGCTGGAAGTTACATGTAATAAATTCGAACTCCAGTATAATATGTTGGAATATTTTTTGAATTTTAAACAGTATTTTCATTCAGATATATCTTTATATAAAAGTGGCTAAATTTCGATTATTTTTGAAACTGTGGCTATTTTTCAATTACTACTTGTAAATCTAGCTATTTTTGAATATCTTCCCATTTACCCATAGCTTCAAAGACACATACACAACCTCTTTTTTGGGCTTTGGTGACCAAAATACTCGGATCATGTGGGTGACACATAGTTAATCTCCAAATTACCCCATGAATAATGATGGATCATGTGAAAGTTAATTCAAGTGGGAGATTGTAGGGTATGTGAACGAGTCCGGCAGAATTATTTTTTGTTTCAGCAGTTGGGCGGTCAACTATTTAAGTTAAGTCTTCTATTTTTGATAATGGAGTTGATGGCTCCGAGAAATATTTTGTTTTAGCATTGTTATAAAGAAGTTAATTGTATAGCTTTCTTGCTAACATGGGAGAGTATACAAAGAAGGATTTATTCTTCACACGGGATTTAGCTCTTCCTTTGGTAGCTAAAAACTTTTTGAAGAATGATATTGATGATCTACCCAACTTTCGGATTAAAGCACAAACAACGAATTTCACTATTGATTATGGATAGTTATAACATGATAGTTATACAGTGTATAGTTTACTTTTATCAAATTTTAAAGGAGAAGACCTCTTCAGTAGGTTTCCTTTTGGTACAACTACCCAGTAGAAAATTTTCATTCTACCATCACTTTATATTGGAAGCAAAAGTTTATAATGTACCCTTTAATATTTGTAATATATATATAGGTCGGGGTCAAGCCTGACCGCACACCGATAAGGTGGTTCTTGAAAGGAAAAAAAAAGTCTTCTATTTTTTATCGCCTCTCAATAAGGAGCAAGAAAATAATGAGGTTTTATGCTTGGAATACAATGGGATTGCAGTGACCATAAAAGATCATTTTTCATTAAAACATACATAAAACTTGGTACAAGAACCAAAAAGGATTGACGTGCCACACTTATTTTAGTGTAACAAAAGGCTATTAAAAGCCAATTAATTAGAACACAACATTAGCTATATCCTTTTAAGAAAGGCAGCAACTTTATTATGTGTGACACTGAATTAATCCTTTCTTCTAATATCTAGTTAGTTATTCATTATCTCTTCTTCGAACAAAGCTGCAGCCAAAGTTTTTGCTTCCTCCGCCAAAGTTTCAGCTCCTGTTTTGATCATCTTCTCATCAAACACACATGGCTTAGTGCATAGGCACCTTCTGAGGATTTTGCTACAATGACCATCAGTAAATCCCTCACTGATACAAGCTTTTCTGCATGGTGGTTTGGTAATGCATAATCCAGGGAATGTATTGCTTTCTGTTTTGCATTCTCTAGCTTGCACCTCTACAATCATTCTCAAGTACTTACCAATGTTAGAACAAAAGAAAAGACGGAATTGAAAGAAAGCATTGAAACATGAATATATTCAAGGTTCTTAAGGAAATATATTGAAGGGGCCGGAGCCTTGGAATAACGGGTTCGAGCCGTGAAGGCATTGGAAGCAGTCAGTAATGTTTGTATTAGAGTAAATTGTCTACGTCACACCCTTTGGTGCAGGCCTTCCTCGAACCTTGCGTGAATGCCGTATGCTTTCCGCCCCTTTTTTTCTAAAGAAATATATTGTTCTTATACTATTTTGAAAGAACTAATGCAAACACGTACATTTTTTAAGGATTTCTCAAAGCCACAAGATGTATACTACAGATTAATTAGTCACTCTAACAACAAATACATCAAAAAGATGACCACACTTAAAAATTTATGCGGTAATCAAAAAACAAATTACTTGAAAAAATCATAATGAGTGTAACTTTATGTTCATTATCATAATTTAAACCAATCATGCAGATATAATTTATATTCATTTTGCTTAAAAGAAGATTTGGGTAATTAAGTGACTGGATAACAAGAAATAGAGTTATATTATACAGTATATTTTAATATTTTTATGGGATTTTAGAGGAATAAATGGAGACAAACCATAGGCAACAAAAAGCATCATTGCCAACACTGCAAATGCCATGAAACACAAGGAGCGAGCCATAGTCTCTTTGAATGAGTAAAGAAGGATAGGAATTTTAATAATAAGAAAGATTGCAATTCAGAGTTGTGAATGAATGCTAACACAATAGAGGTATTTATAGGCAATGAAATAAGAGTAGAAAAACTTGTACTTATCTTTTGAAGCAAAAAAAAAAGAAAATAAAAAAGAAAAATAATAATGTGAAGCAAATTATAGTACAGTTTTGGATATTTTGAAATTTGGAGATAATTTAATAACACATGTTCCCCATGTTCATAAATTTTCAGTAACTAGTTATTCTGCCCACAAAGAATAACCATATTAGAAATTAAACTTGAGAGCAACAATAACACAAAACGTGCTATGTCAGAGTTCCACAAAATCGGATTTGCTGGTTAAACAATTTTGAGCCATCCTCGCCTTATAAGTTAACTTTTAAAGTTAAAATAAGATCCAAGATCTGTTTCTGATCACGGTACCAACGTCAGACTTTTATCAATTCTTAGCTATCAGACAAAAAAATTACTAATCTTCAAAGCTAAATTTAATCATCAAAACCAATATAAGATTAGCTCAATAATTCTTTTAAAACGTCAATTTAGTTCAATGAAATTTTGTGAGTTAATTTGATTTTTCGATTTTTCTTCTAATACCCCTAGAATTTCTATAGCTTTCGGTGGTTATAGTTGGACCATCTTTTACGAGATAATCTGCTGCCGTAGTCTAAAGAAGCTTAAAGACTTGGTATCTAATGAACCATATATTATTTTTATATCATAATTTTGCAGTTCCCTTTGTTTATTCAATGTAGTTGTTTCCACTCTAAATATTTCGTTTAAAAAGTAACAAAAAAAGTAAAAAGGTTCTAGTTATTTTGCTTCTGTTGTATTTGATCGAAATTATTTATTTTTGCTATATGTTACACATTTGGTCTATTTGTTTCTTTATCATTATCAAATTGTCTCATATTTGTTCTAACCAAAGTGAAATGAGTAGTTCACATTCTTAAAAAAAGAAAAATATGATGACCCGATAGGTCATTTTGAGTTTTAGCATTCATTTTTGTATTTTGAGATCTCGATTAGCTCCGTTTAGTATGTCTCGATTTGCGTGCGCAGTCCGTGTTATTTCGAAAAAAAATTATGTGAAAAATCTAAGGCAATAGGAATTTTTGTCTTTAAAATGACTTGAGTTGACTACGATCAACATTTTGTGTAAACGGATCCGGATTAGTATTTTGATGGTCCCGGTAGGTCCGTATCGTAATTTGAGACTTGGGTGTATGCCCGTAATTTAATTCGGAAGTCCCTAACTTGTTTTGACTCATTTTGCCGAAAACTAGCATTTGAAAGTTAAAGAATTACTAAGTTTGACCATAAGTTGACTTCTTAGCTAACGGGTTCGGATTTTGATGTTAAAATTTGGAATACTTCTGTATTGCTATTTGAAACTTGTCTGCAAAATTTGGTCCAATTCAGAATTGATTTGACATGTTTTAGACACTTAAATGTGATTCCAGTGTTCTTGAGTTTAACCTTGAAAGGTCATTCGTTTTGAGGATTGATTCGTAGAATTAGATGTTATTTTGGTGATTTGATTGCATGACCAAGTTCATATGATGTTATTATACTTGTGTGTATGTTTGGTTTGGAGCCCGAGGGGCTCAGGTGAGTTTCGGATAGGCTACAGATTGATTTTGGACTTTGGAGAATAGTTGATGCCTTCATTGTTGCTGGTGTGATCTGCAGATCTCGCATTTACGAGATCTGGCTCGCAATTGCGGGCCTCGCTTTTGCGAACATGTGTTCGCATTTGCAAGCATAGGCTGGATTGGGTGTCCTCGCATTGGCGAGGAAAATGTTCGCAATTGCGAATGAACATTAGTCGCTTTTGCAAAGACAGAGTCGCATTTGCGACTTAGTGTGTTCCTGGGTAACCTTCGCATTTGTGAAGGATTGGTCCGTATTTGCGATGGCTAGGTGTTCGCATTTGCGAACAAAATATCGCATTTGCGACTTCTGTAGCTCTGAGACAGGGTTCACATTTGCAACCTTTTTCTCGCATTTGTGATGCTCGCAATTACGAACAAACTCGGCAATTGTGACATCTACAGCTGGGTAAAAGAGGGGAAAAACGAGATTTAGCTCATTTCTCACATTTTCTCAACCCTAAACACTCTAGAGGCAATTTTTCAAGAGATATTTCTTCCTAAATTCATTGCTAAATGACTTTAATATATTTCTTTAAAATTACCCATTACATTTCATGAGATGTCAATATCAAATTAGGAATTTCATGGTAGAAATTAGGAATTTGGGTAGAATTAGAAATTTTTGTAAAATTGGGATTTGGACCTCGAACTGAGGTAAGATTTTGAAATAAATTACATAATCGGGCTTGGAGTGAATGGGTAATCGGATTTTGGTCCGAATCCCGATTTTGACCAAGCGGGCTTGGGGTTGACTTTTGTTGACGTTTTTCAAAAATGATCTAAATTGAACCTCTTTCATTCGTGGGTAGTTTTTAGAGCTTATTTTGAATCATTTGATCAATACGTTTCTAGATTTGGTTGGTTTGGAGGCATGTTCGTAAGGCAATGTCGTGGTTGAGCTTTCAGTTGATTGCGGAGCGAGGTAAGTGTTGGGTCTAACCTTTATTTGAGGGAATTAGGGACCCTTGAACTACATGCTGTGTGAATTATGTGTGAAACGGCGTATATGTGAGGTGACGAGTGTATATGCGTGTCACGACCCAAAATCCCACCACAGGCGTCGTGATGGCACCTAGTCTCTAAGACTAGGTAAGCCGATTTCTATTACGCTTTGAAACCATTTGTTTTTTGGAATTAAAATCTAACAGCGAAAATAATTACAATACAGAACCTCCCAAGACTAGTAGTACTGAGTCACGAACTCTAACTTAATACATGGAATGATCACGAGGACCGAATATACAATACTGTTTGATTAGAAATTAACAGTACAATGAAATGAAAAGACTCCAAGGGACTGCGACAGCCAAAGAGCTCTACCTTAAATCTTTCATCGAATTCGCGATGTCCCAGTCGCGTTCGCGTACGCCAACTATTTCTGCCCCATCATTTCCTCTTCGCGTTGTGAATTGTGATATGAAATGGGGATATTAGCACGTGAATTGTCCGTGCAGTTATGATATAAAATGTGAGCACGGGGTGCTGTGATGAAATGATAATGATATTTGGCACGTGAATTGTCCGTGCAGTTGTGATATGAAATGAGGGCATGAGGTGCCTGGCAAATATGATGATTTAATTATAGGCACGAAGTGTCATGAAAATATAAAAATGGGCTAAGACCCGAATTTACGAAAAATATGAAAATGGGCTAAGACCCGTATTTTGATGATTTTGAAATGAGGTGTCACATGATGACTTTTTAATTGAAAGAATTATATTCAAAATATTTATTTGGAAGGATTTTTACTTAGAAAGTATTATATAAAAGAATTGTATTTTGAAAAATATTTATTTGAGCAAATTATATTTGAAAAGATTTATTGAAATAATTATATTTAAAAAATAATTATTTGAGAAAATTATATTTGAAAGAGAGTTATCAGGAAGTCCTCGTCGCATACGCGATGACCAGCTGATCGACGCCTTCGCGTTCGCGTTCGCGAAGGCCAAACGACCCTAGGCCCCTATCTTCCTTTCTTCTTCGCATTCGCGTTGCCTGGGCCGCGTTCGCGAAGGACAAATCATCAGCCCCTCAAATTCCTCTTCGCGAACGCAGGACTCCCTTCTCGTTCGCGAAGAAGGAAATTAGACTTCTGCAACAGCAGTCCAAACAACTCCAATTTGGTCTGAAACCACTCCGAAATACACCCGAACCCCTCGGGACCCCGTCCATTCATGCCAACAAGTTTCATAACATATCACGGACTCGCTCGAGCGTTTCAAATCACATCAAAGTACGTCAAAAATACAAATCGCACCACAAATCGAACTTATGAACTTCAAAAACTTCCAACTTCTAAAACTCGTGCCGAAACCTATCAAACCAACCCGGAATGATGTTAAATTTTGCAGGCAAGTCCCAAATAATATAACGAAGCTATTCCAACTCTCGGAATCGCATTCCGACCTTTCGCCATTTTAAGCCTAAATTGGCTACAGACCTCAGATTCACGGTCCGGACACGTTCCTAAGTCCAAAATCACCCAACGGAGCTAACAGAACCGACAAAACTCTATTCCGGAATCTTCTTCATACAGTTCCGACTATGATAAAAATCCTAAGGCTTAAGCTTCCATCTCAGGAACTAAGTGTCCCAAATCTCTCTGAATCATCCGTAAATCAAACTCAACCACACACGCAGGTTATAATACATATTGCGAGGCTGCTAGATACCTTAAGTCACTGAACGGGGCATAAATTCTTAAAACGACAAATCGGGTCATTACATTCTCCACCTTTTAAACAAACGTTCATCCTCGAACGTTCTAAGAATTATTCTAAGGTTACCGAGTTGATAATTTTACTTTTACACATAAACTCACGGTTGATTCCACGTTACCGCATTTGAGATAAGCCCGATAATATCATCTCACTTGAGATTATTTCTTTTATCCATATTTGTAAACTTTAAGGCCATTTTCTTACGCTCCAATATTTTCAAAAGGCCTGATTTCTCACAACAACGCACAGTATTAGTCTCAATTGGCTATAGCAACTCGTGCCTATGCACACATCAATTTTCTCGATAGTGTTGAAGTAATTCAAGACTTTCTATGGGGTGCTACATTATTCCCCGCATAGGATCATTTGCCCTCAAACACATAACATAATTTATCTCTTCCTTTGCAAATCTTAATCCCCCAAATTTTACTAACTCCCAAATTTTTCAGAAATTTTGGTAGAGTCTCCCCTGTAATTGGGCCTATCCACCTGCCAAAGTAACACCCAAACAACTCTTAACAACATATCCACAACCCAACAAAATACCACAAGGTATATATCAATAAAATTAATCTCATCATTGCCTTATCATATGATATCAG